TACATATAATATATATATATAAAATTCTCCTCCACTAGCCTGTCAGCTTCATCTTTGTATTCCCAGCATATAAAACAATACCTGGCCTATGACAGGTGCTTATTAATTATTTATTGGCAAATGAATGAAGCAATTTATCTCATTTTTATTTTAATTATTTGCTTAAAGTCTGTCTTTCCAACTAAATTTTAAGCACTATGAAAGAAAGGACTATATTGGTTTTCACTGGGCATTCAATAATTTTTTAATGCAGGAATGTGCAAATAAATTAATGAGTTTGATGAATACTGAACATTTATTACACATAGGTCTGGACTAGGCAAGGAAGAGATAGAGAAACATAGAATGTTGCTTCTACCTTCAGAAAGTTTATGGAATAATTGAACAATTAGAAAAACACATAAAAAGATAAGTAATATTACCAAGGAGCACATTACAAATATTTAATGAATAAAGTATAGAATCATCATAGGAGCTGAAGCAAAAGCAAGTGCTTAAGGCCAGCCATGCTGATGGGTGAGGGAAAGTTAGGTCTTAAGAGAAAAGCATGGCTTGGTCAGTCAAAGTGCAATTAAAATAATGAGCCTAGAAAATAAATAAGTAAGAATGCATACATCAAATTCAGGTATCTATTTGGCAGAGGTAAAATAGTTTATTCAGTAAAAATTCATCTGGGGGCCATATCATTAATAGACTTGAATCTACTTTGGAAAATAGACTATAAGCAATTGGAAATAATGAAGGCATTAAGTGAGAGTAAAATATATTCAAAGTGATGTTTTGAAGATTAAGTTTTCAGCAGATTAATCTTTGAGAAGAGGTGGGAGATTAGGAGCAAAGAGACTGAATAGGGAAAAATTATAGCAGTTCAAGCATAAGTGATGAAATTCTAGATTGGAACATTGACAAGGACGGTAAGAGAGTTTTCTTTAAAAAAAAAAACCCACACACAAACGAATCTATAGGATTAAGTTACTTTCTAAAAGAATCTGGGTGATCCTTCAGGGCATGAGCCATGTCTGTTTTGTCCGTCACTGACTTTCCCAGTGCCTGGCACAAAGGCCAATACGTTGATTAAGTAAAAGTAGTGGAACACATGGATGAATAACTCCAGTAATGACTCCAGGTATACCAGCATGGCAGAATTAGAGATGGCCAGTGGATGGATTAATTTTGGGTGTGTTTTGTGAGCATGGGGGGAAATGCACTCAAGTCAGCATATATAGGCAGTGATTGAAAATTCAGGCTAAGGCACAGGAGAACATTCAGTGTACAACATAAATAAAACTGCCGGTCCCTAAGCTGGGACTCCAGAGATTCTGACTCTGAGGTTCCAGGGTAGGGCCTATGAATGTGCATTCTTATCAACACCCAGGTGAATCTCATGCAGGTGACTAACCTTTTGAGAAACACTGATTAATTTTGTAGAGAGTATAGGAGAAATATGTAAAATAGCCTCTTCCTTCCAGTTATCTTATTCAGGGGACAGAAAATGATATGACCCCAGCTGAGAAGTCTCCTAGGAAAAAAATCATCAATGCTTAGTATTCTCTCTTTGGAACCTATCTTCAGTAAAGTCTAAATATATGCAAAAGGAAGCTGAGGGGATGTGATGCAATATAATTTACCTTTTATACCACATAAATGTATAAAGACTACTCTGAAAATACTCAGGCTTTACTAGTTTCTAAAAGGAAGATCTTCTGGAAAAGCAGAAGAGAAAAGAGGAAGAATGGCAAAACACACACACAAACACACGCAGGAAGTCAGACAATTCAGGAGAAGTAGCTAATAGGAGTGGAAAAGATGACACTGATGAAAAATGAAAGTAAATGTAAAATAAAAACCAAGCCCTAGTAATTAAAAGGACTGCATCATGTTGTTAATTGTTAGTATTGTGAATGACAAAAGTGATAGGACAAAATCCAGACTCTTCTACAAAAACACTGCTACTGAAGTAAAATCTAATGTAGTTAAGATGGAATGGAATTACCGACAGGATTGACCTCCCCAGATATATTTCTGAAGTGTCTTATCTAAATATAATATTTTAGGGAAATGAGAACGCTGGTTTACATCTCCACTAGCCCTGCCCTTTGGTAACTAGTCTCTTAAAAAGAGACTCTCTATAAAGCTTTATCTGCCTGACCCACCTGAAGGTTTACTACCTTTTAGCCCTGTTTGCTGTCTAACCAAATCTCTGAGTGAATAGTAGCTTCCTGTTAAGTTTTTTTTTAATTGAATGTGATTGCCCTTCTATTAAAAAAGAAAAAAAAATAAGGGGCGTGAAGTAAAGAGCCATTAAAAAGCTAACTTGAAAAGAAAATGGGGAAAAATATTTTCTATGCTAATGGACAGAAAAGAAATAGAAAAATTTCTTTAACCCAACAGCGTAATAATGCATCTAGCAGAAAATAATCCATAATCTTCTGGTAAAATGAAAAGCTCCAATGTATACGTTAAAACCAGAGGGAGGGAGCAGTTATAGCTCAGTGGTAGAGTGCCTGCTTCGCATGCACGAAGACCTGGGTTCAATCCCCAGTACCTCCATTAAACAAGTGAATAAACAAACCTAATTACCCCACCCTCGAAAGAGAAGAGATTATAGTTCTCCACAGATTAACTATCTACCTCTGGTTTTATTCTTTTGGGGGGAGAGGCAGAGGGGAAGTAATTAGGTTTATTTGTTTATTTCTTAATGGAGGTACTGAAGATTGAACTCAGGACCTCATGCATGCTAAGCACGCACTCTGCCACTGAGTTATACCCTCCTGCCCACAATCTCTTATAATTTGAGGACAGTCCCTTTTCTGAAAACGTCTATCACATGTTTTCATTGCTAGAATTGCATCATTAGCTTT